GCCTTCCTAAATGACATAGAAAAAGTCAAGGAAAACCAAGTTACACTGTTACTGCTTTTTCCCTTAATGCTTCTTGATTCCCTTTGGGTTCTGGACGCGTGAGATGCTGCTGCTAGCTCTTCCTATTTCTCTCTTCCTCCTCCTTGCTTTGGAGAACAGCTAATTATAATCAGGTATAAGCTGTAAATCATGGTGATGCTCTTCTTTGGGGAGTTGTATATCCACAGAAAGGAGCCAGACTGGCACGAGATAGACGTGGGTTGGAAGCCCGGGTTTTATCTTCCACTTATTGCTCTGTGACCCTGGTAAGTCACTCGACCTCTCTAAATTGCATTCTCTTTGGTGGAATAGAGATCATAATACCAATCTCTTAAGGTTGTTTAGGGAATTAAGCAGAGGACCATCTGGCAATACCTGAGTGTAGTAGATGCTCTATTAGGGGCAGCCATGAGCAAGAATAATGATAATGACCATTTGTCCAGAATTAGACAAATCAGAATGGATATGAGACATGTACACAGGCCCACTTTGCATTCCTGAAGTATTTATATGCTTCCTTAAGTCTCACAGTGACTTGTCTAAGAAAATAGGTCCCACTCTGATCCCACATTTATATTTGAAAAAATATGAGGCTCACTCAGAAAAGGTGGAAGGCTTTTTCAGGGCCACAGGGCTGGTGGTATCGGAGCTGGGATGAGAGTCCAGCCCTCTGGACTGGTCTGCTTCTCCAGGCCAGCGATTCCTCCAGAGGCATAGACCCCACAGCCATACCATCTGAACATTCGTGCGAAGTGGGAGAAATCAAGACCACCAAGAGCCTCTAGTTAGTTACGGTTCATGTTTTGTCACCAAATGAATATGAAAAACTTCAGCGTCCACTGTCCATACATTCAGAATTGTGGATGAAGTATTGAATACTTGGGACAGGAACACAGGCCTCAAGTGCGCAGTAATGGAGACCAGGCAGAGACCCTGCTTTACGCCAGAATTTGGTCATTTCAAAACTGTACCCCACGGGCTTCCCTGGTGGCGCAGTGGTTGAGAATCTGCCTGCCAATGCAGGGGACACGGGTTCGAGCCCTGGTCCGGGAAGATCCCACATACCGCGGAGCAACTAGCGCTGTGAGCCATAATTACTGAGCCTGCGCATCTGGAGCCTGTGCTCCGCAACAGGAGAGGCTGTGATAGTGAGAGGTCCACGCACCGCGATGAGGAGTGGCCCCCACTTGCTGCAACTGGAGAAAGCCCTCGCACAGAAACGAAGAGCCAACACAGCCATAAATAAATAAATAAATAAATAAATATATTTTTCTAAAGAGGCAAAATTCCTAAGAAAAACAAAAACAAAACTGTACCCCACAAAAGATCAAAGAGAAATCTGAATCCATGTGTCCTAGATTGAAATTAGAGGAAAGAGACTGGCACAATAAGTCTTTCAAGGCCAGTTTGCTGGGTTACTTTCGCCCCTTGTCCGTGGACTGTGTCAGCTTTCGCCAGATTCAGTGAACTGGCCTTCCTTCTCTTAGCTCAGAATTCCGCTGAGAACTCTCGTTAGCTTTACCAGTGCCGAAGGTCAGCTGATGTGCAGGACTCCTGTTGGTTTCCTTCCAGCACTTTCCCCCTTTCTCACAAAGGACTATTTAAAGCACAATTCCTGATCTCATACTTGGACCCATTTTTAGAGGCTAAAATAAAGAAAATTAAGGGTTCCAAGACTGGGTATGTTTCTGTCATGCTCACCAAATTGCAAGGGTGCTCACAGCTCTTGTATAGGAAGCTCTTAACTACATTTAATCACAGGAAACCTTCCCAGGGAGGCTCAGGTTTGCTCCTTTCATACAGTGATACAAGAAAGATTTTACCTGGAGTAACAAAGGAGATTATTCCATCAGTTCCTATGTTTGCTGAGCCCATGTCTGAGAAGCAAATAACACTGTCCTTCTTATCCAAGTTATGGATTTTGTATTAGAGATTCTTATAATTTTCTGTCAGTCATTTCCTCCCTGGCTCCTCCCTTCCTTCTTTGAGGACCTGTCCATATACTTTGCAGAGTCAGTTCCCACAGGCCCTGCTGAGGGGGCACATGACTTGCATCCCTGAACACAGACAGCTAGATCTGGTTGGTTGAGTGTTTAAAGAGAGAACTGAAGCCAGCAATGGGGACAACGTGTTTGGCTTTTGGGCCTAGAATCAGAAAAAAATAACACAGAAAACCAAAAACCAAAAACAACCAAAAAAACAACTAGTCAAGAGGTACAGATAAAGAGAGAGGCAGAGATGGAAATGAGGGAGAGACCACATGCAGACAGAAGCAGAGCCAAGAAACCAATTCATTAAGAGACACTAAGAGCAAAATCTTGATTTTGCTTTCTACCGCTGTTTCCAACGTTTTGTGGACATTAGTTGCATTCTCTGCCCTTTCATTTTGTTATATGCTGCTGTACTTTGCTGATAAATACAACCTGTGCCTTTTTCCTTCGTGTGTGTGTGTATATGTGTATGTGTGTATGTGATTCCAGCGCGCTTTGTTCTTTGCAACCAAGGGATACCAGGACAGATTTGCATCCATAATCACCTGTGATGACCAGTAATATTTTCAAGATGGAACCTTTGTTTGAAGAGTAGAGCTCATGGTCCTGGGATCAGAACCAAGAGGTGAGGCTCCTGTGATCTAGGGTCTTAGCACAGTGCTCATCAATTTATCTGTCACTGATGCTCCAAGAGCTTTTGCTCTGTTTTCATTCTTTGCATCAGGCTAAAACAGATTCTATAATTGATTTCCCCCTCAGAGGAGTGTGATTTCCCATCTGGGATGGAGATTCATAAATCCTTTGGGAGCCCCAAGGGTTGGAATGGCTCCAAGATTCCTCCTCACACCATTGGCCAGGGTATTTTTTTTCCTTTTCTGAAAGGTGTGAATCTGACCTTTCGATTGGTCACCAAGGTTGCCATATTCAGCTACTTGCGACTAAAATACAAAGGGCTTGGAGGGAGCACAGCCCACAGATTCTATTTGAGGAATGCCAAATGGTTCTCCAGGACCCAGCTGGTACCACGCTCTCTCTCACACAGTGCCTGAAATGTGCACAGTTATTTTTGTTAAATTATATTATTGCTCATGAAGAAGTCTAATATTAAAACAAAATCAACAATGCCCAGAGAGAGGGCAGAGAACTCTCCAACCTGCCAGCTGTGTGACTTTGGGAAAATCAAAACCTCTGTGTTTTGGTTTCCTCATCTGTGAGATGATAATACTAATACCTACCTCAGAGGGTTATGATGGGAGTTAATATTTGTAAAGCCCCTAAAACAGTACCTGGTACATGGGTTGAGTCTTGTTGAACACACATTCCTCCTATTAAGATGGTGACAGCGTAAAGTCTGGGGCTTTCCCTGACATGGTACATAAACTCTTGGACTTAGAATGCCTAAGGTTTGGAAAGTAGGGAGGACTAAGGAGTCGGGTCTTGGTGGATTTGGAACGCTGCAAGATGAGATAACGCTTCTCCAGACCAGGGTCAGAGGTCTCCCTTTGGAAAGGGATCCAAACGTGTTGGGCTGGGAAGAAAAGAGGAGATGAGGGAGGGAACTCAGGAAGCTACAATAATATTATAATGAGTAAGTCCTTGGGCAAGTCTATCTCAAAGATTCAGGCATGGATGGGTGTGTGTGTATAATTTAAACTCAGGAACATAGGTATAGCCATAGGGGCTGTGTGTCCTTAAGACATGCCCACCTTTAGATCATATTCTCAAGGAGTTGTTGGTTAAATCATGGCCAGAAATTACAAAAATACTGGAATTTGGGGGTTTTAAGGTCATATTTATTTAGGTAGATTTCACATACAGTAAAATTCACCCTTTTTAGTGTGCAGTTCTAAGAGTTTGACAAATGTGTGCAGTCGTGTAACCATCACCACAATCAAGCTATAGAACATTCCCATCCCCCCTAAAAGTTCCCTTGTGCCTATTTGTGGACAACTCCATTTCCCACCTGCAGCCGTGGCAAGCACCGCTCTT